GATGATTTGAAGCACTTTCGTCAGAAGCAAGCTAACAAACAAACGATAGGATTGTTAGGTACATGGATTTTTGAGATTTTTACACAATCTGCTAAAAAGGATAATCATAAAGAAAAGAAGAACACGCAACAGTCTTTCGATTTACGAAAGGTAGAAGATGTCAGTAGATGTAGAAGATCCGAAAACGCTTTGCACACATTGTGTAAACTAGCTTCATCGTGTAATTGACAAGTTTATATGTGCGATCTATGTCACTGAATTATACGTGGAGTCAGAAGAGCAAGTTTAAACTTGTTTGGACAATGAGTGCAAAGCTTCGAGTCTCCCCCAATAGAGATGGTAATTGTGATCTGTAGTCCGTTTAATTCTCAACTAAAGTTACGACATTTTTTGATCAGCATCAGAAGAATGCTGCCATGGGACTTTGCACAAGTAAAAAACTGGGATGTTTTGAAACAGAATACTCAGTTATTATATGCTTCAATTCTCCACAAGGATATGGTGCTAATAAAAGGACTGAGGATTCGAATCTGTCTGTATGTTTGAGTCAAAACCCTCAAATCAGTTTTGGTGTGCAGCGATAATTGACCCTTTACGATTACACTGGCATTTCGAGGATCCGACTTCTTTCACGTTTTGTAAAATAACTATTGAAATTTTATTCGAATATTCGAATAAGCTATTTTTTCGATTCGTTGAATGAACAAATATTCGAATAAAGGTCTTTCTCATATATTCCACTATTCGAATAATTGAATAGAAGCACCTTCCTGAATGTTCGACCATTCTACTTCAAATAAACCATTTAAATACGAATATTCGGAATACACGGTAGGAATCTCCAGCATGTAGCCTCAATAAATTAGCCGCCGTTCCAAAAAATTCGAAAATATCCGAAAACTTCCAAAAAATCTGAAAAGATGTGTAGCATGGTACGCAAGATCTATATGACTTTATAACCTTTGCATAGTTCTTTTATAATTTTCGAAAGCAACTTTTTGTGAACCTGAAAACAGCTATTCAGTCTACCCAGCCTGACTTTTCAAAGAGCCATTTTGAGGGATACAAATTTCACATTTACGGTCAGCAACTCGCAAACTTCTTCGGAGTTCCCACCGTTTTTACTGTTATCTAGTATCAAAGAGTATTCGGTGCTTCATACCGTAGTTCGAAAGCTCTACAGTGGTACTTATAGGTTCTCGAAAAATCTTCTGGTGAGAGAGTTCTTAGCAGTCGAACAGTAGGGACACTTTTTGAGACACCCTGTTATGTAGTAGGCGGGTCAGGGTGCGGCTGAGTTTGATAAATCAATGATCTACTTCTATTTCCCAACACTACTGGGATTGCCAAAGGCTCCTTGTTCCAAACGCCTAATTGGATTAGCTAGAGGAAGAATCTTGCAAGTTAAATTCAGCGTACTTGTATACGCAAAATTCGTCGCGGCAGCTGCTTCTAAGCACAGGGCGACAAAGTACTGCTGAACCAAGACACGATAGAGAAACGATAGATGATAGAAACACAGCAAGAATCAAAAGATATCCCACAAGTAGTTCAAATTGAAAACAGACTGACGCAATTCCAAATCTACGAAATGGTCAGTGATCGCCATGTGTTTGTCAATTTGTGAAGACTATTGAAGATCAAAAGGAACACCTATGCATCCCATAAAACACAAAATCCTGTCAATCTTCTTAGAATTTAGTTTTGCATCGCGGAACTGCAGTCTTCGAATAAAGCATAACTTACTCCGTGGGGCATAAAGACCATACTACTAGGTTTTTAGTGATGATTTTTTTCGGAGAGTATTTTGACTTCGGCTAAGAGCCAATCAGGCTGTTTTTTCGATATCTTTCGAGATTACAATGGTAATAACGATAAGAAACACTTAGGTTTCTGGGAACAAAGCAATACTTCGCAGCTTCAACAGCAATAGAGTGATACTCGGCGCTAATGATAATTTAGGGTGGTCGTTTCCATCCATGGTAGAGAATTAAACTTAGACATCGTCGGTAATCGATGTTGGTAGATAAAATCGTCTGCGGCAAAGTTGTGCAAGAAGCACTTGTATTTTTGCAAATAGTGATGCTCAGCACTAGTGTGATGCAACATCATCAGCAACACGTTGAACACTGAGCCCATTCTGTGACAGGCTGATGTTGGGTGTTGCTCAACACCACCCCCAGCAAAGGAAGGTTGTTGCTCAACACCATCCCCAGCAAAACAAATGTGTTGCTCAAAGCCATCCTCAACACTGGCAATGTCCTCATTTCCAACCCTGTTTGAGCGTAGCATTGCGGAATTGATTAGTCGATGATCTGCCCTACCTAACGACATCAGCGGGATTGCCAATAACCACTCTGCCAAGACTCTGCCCAATTTCTCGCTGGGACTTGATGGTGCTGTTCTCCGCACAGCATTACAAGGACTTTTTGACATTATCTTCAGCAAGATATTGATGCTCACCAAGGAACAAATCATTGTTCCTCAATTGTTATCTCGAAGTAGCAAATATTCTTGACACAGTAAAGGTAGCTTTGCCCAAATTCGTCCTAGGATACTCAAAACCCCCTTAACCATGATGTTGGTGGGGAATAATCGGAAAAACTCTGCTTAGAAATTCCAACAGAAAAAGCAGGTGCCATCTGGTTGGATCGTGATGCAATGCCATCGAACAAATCATCCTCTCCATCAAGACATCAACAACAGCAAAAAGCTGTTGTTCATTCTGATAGCGGGCAGGTGGTCCACTCACTAAACATCATCAGCAAAGCTTATCGTTAGATGCTCCTCCACAAGTAACAGAATGTTGTTTGCTCTATTCCGTCCGCAGAAACGAAAGCGGCTCAAGACTGTGTTGTTGCGCAACACCATCACATGAGCTCTTACCCACGATGTTGACCTATATGTCTTCCCACAACAAGACGTGGACTGTTGATGTTGTTCAGGTGCCGCCTCGCTTCCTGCACCACGTTGCATGTGCAATCTTGGCGTGGTGTGGCAACGGTAACAACACGAGAAGCCTGCGACAAGTTGCTCAAGCACCACGCCACGCTGAACAATGCGCCTGCAACGTGACGCAAGTCGGAAGCTAAGCGGCACCTCAACAACCGAAATAATTCAAGAATTATCATCACAAGGGGTTGGTGCTCAATGTCGGAAAAAAGGTGTTGGTATCAACGCATCAGCAACTATCGGTGCTCAGCTTACCAGGGTAAGGTCCCATAGTCGAAATCGCCTTTTCAAATGAAGTATGTACCCATATGAAGAACATCAAACGCTGATTATCAGAACTGTCTTTGTTTTCTGTCAAGCGCCTGTATACGCTGAGTTATGAG